GTATATTCAACAACCAAGAAAGGCCAGATTACAAAGTAAAGGATCTACTTTACCACATAATGCAGCTCCTGCAGTACTTGGAATCTACCCTAAACCCAGGAAAGCAATAACCAAATTCAGTTTGTCAGGGTTTGGTTCAGGTTTTTTAGGACCAAAATGCAGAGATCAGGAGGCTGAGGTGAATCTTGTAGATTTAATGAGTAACTGAGGCAAAATCCAAGAAACAAATAACCAGAAAACATCAAGGGAAACTCACGTGGGGAGCCAGAGATGAGGAAGACACAAACAACAATAAGGAACCAGCACTGAGTGACTGCAGAGGTGGAGAATATAAGGGGAACAGAACAAAGGGTGGGCTTATTAGCTGAATATGGAGCTGGTGTGAGTTTAACTAACTAGAAGAAAGCCAAAGGGAAGGAAACAAGCACAAGGGGGCAGCAGAGAGTAACCAAAGACTGTTTGAATATAATGGAAAATAAACCAAAGATCAACAAAACAGAACAACTAATAACTGAAAACTAAAAACTCAGAGACCCAAATGGGGAGAACCACGACACAGTTATTGTATTTCAGGCATTACCCATCAGTGATCTATTTAGGGATTAAAACAAAAATCGTCAGCATGTTTTACAGAATTTTTGCACTTTGATGAAAGTAAAAAGCAAACTCATTCCTTGGTTGACTGCAGCCTCTGAGCTCCGTCTGTGTGCAGTTAGTGCTGTTTTAGACCTACAGTGGCAGTCATTCAAAATGGCCCTTTCCAGTCAAACCCCAGCCGAATGGCAGCCCTCTTCCCTGCAACTCCCAGCAAAATCCCCTCCAACTTCCAGCCACTGAAGCCTCTTGCATATTTTTTTTTTATTCTTACTTCACCCTTTCACTTAATTACAGGGTCTGACCAGCAGATGATCCTTCTTTTTAGATCTTAATATCTACAAATCATGACAGAACGTTTTTGTACAAAGATTGACGTTTAAAAAGAAATTGTAGGGGACCAGCCAAGGACCAACCAAGGGCCCATCAAGGAAATAAGGAAAATTTTGAATGGCTACTACAGTACTGTTTGAATTTTTATCCATTGAAAACTTGTATGCCTTTAAAATTTAATTTGACATTAAACAGTTTTTAATTCTGTGTCTGTGTTTTTTGCTATGAAATAACACAATTCATGGCCGTGGAACACAAGGATTTTATTAGTTCAGAGCTTTATTTTCTTTCTGCTCAACTACTATGCTCTGAACTCTGCACTGGCTAAATTAATTATTACCTTTACTCTTTCTGATAAAGTTAGGAGTCTGAGTTTATTAGTTATATGGTGTAATTGCTTTAAAAGAATGATTGGTTGTGGCTTTGCTGCTGAAAAATCATGTTTTTGTTTTTTTTCATTTTCTGTTGCTAAACTTGACGTCCATTGGTTTGATCATGTTTTTAGTCAAAGTAAAACACATCCTGGGTCATGTATCAAAAAGAGGATTTTATAGTAATCCATTTTGCCGGTTCAGACTTGCAGAACATGAACAACTTTACAGATTGTCCCCCATGTTTGTGTTAAATCCTTGAAGAATATGTGTGTATTTCAGCTCAACTAGGGTCAAGAATGTTTGTTGATGCATGGCTTCTCTTTTGTTATTCTTAGCTTCCATGGGTCCTACTCTTCAAATTAACTAAGTTCCTACATGTTAACAAGTTTTTATCAATGTTCTGTACAAGATGATCTTTGTTTTTCTTTCAAGTAAAAAAGGGTTTAGTCAGCCCATGAGTGTGCAAATTCTCCTGTGTAGAAAGATAAGAGAGGTCTGGAATTTTCATGTATATCATGATCGGTTTTATGAATCTGACCCACATGAAGAGATACCACTCAGACACGGGAAACATGGGAACTTGAATGGATCATGTGGAGGTTTTCCCCTGCTCAGTGAGAACTCGGCTTTTCCTTTTAGGGGGAGAAGGTCCAGGTATCCAGTTAAAGAGGAAATCTTCCTGCCGAAGAAACAAAGACAAAAGTACCTAAGTCTCAGAGAAACAATGCTTAAGTTAGACTCGGCTAATGTCAGCTTGGCTAGAGTACCCAAAATTGGCAAACTCTCTGGCATCGAGGTAGTGACAGGCCACTGCTCAAATACTCCTCCACATAATGGTCCAATGAGCTGCAGGTGTACAGGGAGGCCCAACGAAGACAGGGCACCTCCTGGTGGTGGAGAAAAGGAAACACACAAACAGACCACACAAAATGGATTCCTAACAATGTAAGGTTAAGTTGAACTGTGAGATATAAAATTAGGAAAAAAAATCGGGAAATTGTATGATCTTTATTTTCAAATTATGACGGAAAATAAGTATTTGTTCATTTACAAAAGTTCAGCTTCATTCTTTGCAGCATAATTTTTGTTGGCAATGACAGGTCATTGCAGCCCACTGCTCCACAAGGGCATCGGTTAAATGCAGAGGTAGATTTTTAGAGGGTCAGATCAATAAAATTTAATTATTATTATTATTATATATTTCCGGTCAGTCTTCACCAGGTTTGCTGTAGCTGCTGTTTTGGTCCATTCTTCCATCCTGCTCCTCTAGAGCAGTAATGTTTTTGGGTTGTCACTGGACAACCTGGACTCTCACCTCCATCCACAAATTTTCAATGGGGTTGAAATCAGGAGACTGGGCCACTCCAGGGCCTTCTAATGCCATTCATGGAGCTACTTTTTCATTGTCTGAGTGCACCCCCCCCATGCTTCACAGTAGTTAAGGTGTTCTTCCTTCAAACATGAAATGTTGAGTTTGTGCCCCAAAAAAAAACATTTTGGTTTCATATGAAATTGGTTTCATTTATCATTTTGACCCCATGGGATGAGATCTTGCACAGGGCCCAGGATTAAAGAAGATTATCAATGCCGTTGTCTGTCACTGGTAATGTCTTTCCACCAACCTGTTTGACCATTATATCTTCAGTCCTACCAGCCTGGTTCAGTTCTAACATGTCCTTAATGGTGTACTTTGATAGCTCTTTGGTCCTAGCCATGGTTGAGTTTGGAGTCTTAACTGTTTGAGGCTGTGGTCACATGTCTTTTACAAAGAGAATTACAAACGGATGCCATTAATACAGGTGACTGGGGTTACAGATCAGTAATGACCAGACATGTTGCCTGTTTCTATATGATTAGATATTTATTTTCCACCATGATTTACAAAGAAACTCTTTAAAATCATACAATGTCAATCTCTTGATTTTCTTTTCTCTAATCTTGTCTCTTATACAGGTGCTGGTCATAAAATTAGAATATCATGAAAAAGTAGATTGATTTCAGTAATTCCATTTAAAAAGTGAAACTTGTATATTATATTCATACATTACATACAAACTCATATATTTCAGATGTTTATTTTGTTTAATTTTGATGATTACAAATGACAACAAATGAAAATCTCAAATTCATCATATCAGAAAATTAGAATATTGTGAAAAGGTTCAAAATTGATGGCCCCTGGTGCCACACTCTAATCAGCTAATTAACTCAAACCACCTGCAAAAGCCTTTAAATGGTCTTTCAGTCTAGTTCTATAGGCTACACAATCATGGGGAAGACTGCTGGCTTGACAGTTGTCCAAAAGACGACCATCGACACCTTGCACAAGGAGGGCAAGACACAAAAGGTCATCGCTAAAGAGGCTGGCTGTTCACAGAGCTCAGTGTCCAAGCACATTAATAGAGAGGCGAAGGGAAGGAAAAGATGTGGTCGAAAAAAGTGTACAAGCAAGAGAGATAACCGCACCCTGGAGAGGATTGTGAAACAAAACCCATTCAAAAATGTGGGGGAGATTCACAAAGAGTGGACTGCAGCTGGAGTGAGTGCTTCAAGAACCACCACACACAGACGTATGAAAGACATGGGTTTCTGCTGTCGCATTCCTTGTGTCAAGCCACTCTTGAACCACAGACAGCGTCAGAAGCGTCTAAAGAGAAACAGGACTGGACTGCTGGTGAGTGGTCCAAAGTCATGTTCTCTGATGAAAGTAAATTTTGCATTTCCTTTGGAAATCAAAGTCCCAGAGTCTGGAGGAAAAGAAGAGAGGCACTTCATCCACGTTGCTTGAAGTCCAGTGTAAAGTTTCCACAGTCAGTGATGGTTTGGGGTGCCATGTCATCTGCTGGTGTTGGTCCATTGTGTTTTCTGAGGTCCAGGGTCAACGCAGCCACATACCAGGAAGTTTTAGAGCACTTCATGCTTCCTGCAGCTGACCAACTTTTTGGAGATGCAGATTTCATTTTCCAACAGGACTTGGCACCTGCACACAGTGCCAAAGCTACCAGTACCTGGTTGAAGGACCATGGTATCCCTGTTCTTAATTGGCCAGCAAACTCTCCTGACCTTAACCCCATAGAAAATCTATGGGGTATTGTGAAGAAGAAGATGCAATACACCAGACCCAACAATTCAGAAGAGCTAAAAGCCACTATTAGAGCAACCTGGGCTATCATAACACCTGAGCAGTGCCACAGACTGATCGACTCCATGCCACGCCGCATTGCTGCAGTAATACAGGCCAAAGGAGGCCCAACTAAATACTGAGTGCTGTACATGCTCATACTTTTCATGTTCATACTTTTCAGTTGGCCAACATTTCTATAAATCCTTTGTTTTTATTGGTCTTCAGTAATATTCTAATTTTCTGATATGATGAATTTGAGATTTTCATTTGTTGTCATTTGTAATCATCAAAATTAAACAAAATAAACATCTGAAATATATGAGTTTGTATGTAATGTATGAATATAATATACAAGTTTCACTTTTTAAATGGAATTACTGAAATCAATCTACTTTTTCATGATATTCTAATTTTATGACCAGCACCTGTAGTTGAAGCATAGCTATGGTAAAAATTGCAGACTTGTCTTATCCATCTATGTAGGAGAATTTGCACAATCTTTGGCTGACTAAATCCTTTTTGTCCTGACCAGAATAATTTTTATACATTCTGACTTTTTTCTTATTGTTTACAAGGTGACTGTGACCAACATGGGTGATGGATGTGTCACACGCTTCCCAGGAACCTCCAGTGCTGCTCCGATTGCTGCGGGAATTCTAGCTCTTGCCTTGGAAGTAAAGTGAGTGTCTATCAGTCCTGTAATACACCAATGAATACCAATGTTATTATGATAAAATATAAAAACCCTTTTTTTGTATTTAATCATGAAACAGGGGCTAATCACCACATCCATGATCCTGTTTAGTGTCTTTTTTAAAGGAAAAATCCGGTCACATTCTGAATATAAACCTCTGAAAAAACTGTGAAATTATTACATACATTTCAATAAATGAAAAGTGTTTTTAATTACAGGTAAGATTCATTTTCATTTGAATGTGCTTTACTGGAGATATCCATGTTTGTCAAAGAACACTGCTGCCATGTACTGGTTTGTGATGTCACGGTGCGGTATCAGCTGCTGAGCAAGTCCAAGTGCTGTATCTGGTGTTTGTTATAACGTACTATTATCCATGATGGTGACGACCAGTGCACTATGTGAGGCAAAGAGTAATGGATTCATGATGTGTTTTTATTGCAAATCCTTCTTCTTCAAGTTGGCAATCCAATGACGAACCCGTGGTGGATCATGAATCGGAAAGAGGAAATAACTAATGTGTCTTTCACTTTTATCCAATGTATTCCAACATCCAACTGCCATGCACGTGGGCATTGTCAGTTTCACTATAGCTCTGGTGAATTTCCGTGGTGAAGTCCTCTGGAAATCAAAATAATTGTTGTTGATTGTAGATGTGTCTAGTAGCTCCCATTGAGTTTGCTTGTAACGCGTTTTTTCTTTTTTTTGTGATTAACAATAAATTTATTAAAACACAGCGAACGTATTAGTTTTAGTTATGGATAATGGTCCATTGATTATTTCTTGCTAACCGGACTTTTCCTTTAATGTTTCCATTTTTGGAAACATTAAAATGGAATCAATTGAGATCTACCAGATTTGACTGTGATCAGACATATGGGACAACTGCCAACTTTTTTTATACAAGCATTACGTTTGTTTTTTCCAACTAAGAGGATGATGGAAAAACATTTCATTAAATTAGATGGCACTTTCTATTATACCTCTTGTTGTTTTTACTTCTCAGTATAAAGGTTTTTATTTCCCTTCTATTAAACCGTACAGTCTTAGAAACCTGGGAAATCATTCAGAAGCTGGATGGGCTAAATCCTGCATTAGGTGCAGTGCATGATACCTTGCTGGCTCCTGTATAATTGATTTATTGCAGACCAAACACACCTCATAGACCCGTAATGTTTACTATCCTAGGGAGTCAAGTTCACATTTATATTATTAGAATATTGTCATGATGGGCTCTCAAGGGGGACCCAATTATGCAGAACACCACTGAGGCGGAAACAGGAGTAAAGGTCTTAACAGAGTTTATTTAGACAAGCACTGAGATTATGACAGGTTCGGGTTCAGGCCTGGGAAACAGGTTCACTGGAGTCTTGAGGGTTCTTGAGGTTAGCTTTGGGAGAGTCACTGTTGGATCTGGAGAGGTGTTGCCCAGCAGAGTCCGCTTGCTGCTTCAGCGTCTCACGTCTAAAAAATGAACAGACCTTGGCTTTGGGTTTTCCAGCTCTTAGTCCTGAGCTGCATGGAAGTTCTCAATGGTTCTTCAGGTTTGGCTCTGAGGGTCGGCTCGGCAGGTTAGCTCTTCCAGACCTTCACAGAGGAGACACAGGTTTCCTGGAAGATAGAGACAACGGTTAGAATCCTGGCTGGATTCAAAGTCACAAAGATACACTTAGAGTCTAGGCTTAGGAGCTGACCAACTGGATCAACACTGCGACATTGAGGCAAGGTCTGAAGACAGCTTATATAGTGGATCCTCTGATGATGGTAATGAGCAGCAGCTGTGCAGGAGGCTCTGCTCAGGAGGATCCACGGCGGACTCTGCTGGAGAAAGATGGTACTACTCCAGCTCCCAACAAATATTAAATTATGTTCTGTTAAGTAGATTTTATTTCCCCCCTTTATTAAGTGTACCAGTCTTTTTCATCAGCCAATGTTTATTTTATTTTTTACCCTGATTAAACCTAATTTTGCCTCCCCGTAGAGTCTACAGATTTCCTTGAACCTCTTGTTTAACTGCATTGTTTACATAACTCCAATATCAAATGATCACTTTTAGAATTCAAATCATTCTAGATTTAGGCCTATATTTAGACAAACAGGAGAATAATGGGTAACTGTAAATAAAAAGGTATAAGACATAAATGTGAATAAATTTAAGATGTATTTCATCCTTGTTAACTGGAAACTAAGGTTTGTTATATCTTTGTGAAACTACATGCATACATCACAAATATACAAGTAAAAATCATAAATTTACGGGCACCAATCACAGATTTCACTTGTAAACTGCCAATTCCTACATTTGCGAATGCAAGTTGAAAAGTTCTAACTTTGATTTCACAGATAAAACGTCTGATGTCAAATGAATTGACATCAAGGAAAAAACATATAATTTTTTAGAAGTTTATAAACCTCTGCTTACAAATTTAGACACTCTTTATTGACGGTGATCTTACCCAACTGGAAACCCCTAAAAATAGCCATAAACAACCAGTAATCACTCCTTAACACATTTTAAACAACTGATAATATAGAAATATATTTCCATCTATTACTTACAGTTTACTTTTTGCAAATCAGGAAGACAAAGGAAGATCTTTCTGAGTCTTAATGTGTAATGATGTATGCAGGCTGACCAAATGTGTCCACATCCCTGCTTACTTGTACTAAAACTGTTCTAGTTTATAGACTGAAGGATTTTAGAGTCTATTCTCTTAAAGCTACAGTGTGTAATTTTCAGCGACATCTAGCGGTCAGACTGCAGACTGCAGCAACATGAACGTCTCCCCCCCACCGCTTCTCCCCCCCAACAGTACGGCGAGCGTTACGGGACAAAATGTCTTCCACGACGTCCGCATCACCTACCTTCTCAAGTGATGAGGTTTGTTTACATAGATAATTTTACAGATAGTATTTCATTAGTCTGTGTAGGGTATAGATTTCATGTAGACTTAAGATAATAAATATACCCGTTATTTTTTCTACGTCGTTGTGACGTTTTGGTGAGCTGCTTTGCATGGTGATATAAACAGACGAAGTAATTGTAGTCATTAGTTTAACAGCGAGATTGTGTTCGCTGGAAGAATATATATTCCCCGTTTACAGAGTCCAAGTCTTGTTTGTGGCACGGGGGTTACAAGGCAAGGAAGAGGGAAAGGAAGAGGGCAGAGAGGCCGGGGTGAGCGTGCAGCTGGGGCCAGGCGAGAGAGGGGAGCCAGCGGGGTGAGAGCAGAGGAGGAAAGGCTTGAAGATCTCCAAAGGAGCCGGAGAGAAGTAACCGAGGTATATATCCAGAAAATTATTTTACAGAAAATTACTGAATCATTACATGTGAAACGTCAGGGACGTTGCTGAATAAGTATACTGGAGAGTAACAGCATCATCACGCAGCATGTTATTGTTTTAGACAGGTCTGAGCATCCTGTACTCCAAAAACTGCAGTGATATTAGACAATTGTGTGTATAGGATTAATTACCTGTCCAAGAGAAAACTGGCAACTTGAGCGTCACTTTGAAAACCTTTTTCCTCCATCAGTGACTTCCATCGTGTAAATGCCGTGCCAATGTTGATCCGTGTTTTTTGTCGTTTCTTGTCACGCTTGCGTTTATTCTCGTCGTGTTTCCGCTTCTTAGATGACGGGGGTTCGGTGTCCGCCGCTTTTCGTTGTGATACAGAGTAGGCATGATCCTCCATTCGTCTGATGTTTGGCCACACAGTGCCAAACAGTTTGCAAAGTCACTCACGCCTGCCGCCTTGTTCACCTTTCTTGTTACCGAGGCGCAGTATACCTGCTTCTTCTTCTTCTTTGGTTTCAGGCAGACTAAACGCTTCTCAGGCATAATACTGCCATCTACTGTTCAGTACCGTCTCAGTTCATCTCTCTCAACTTGCCGTAGTTATTTTCGAGCGTCATGGGAGATCTCGCAATCGCTAGTTTGTTGCCTCTGCGCTGCCGTAGCGCAAAGATGTCAGCCTCCATGGCTGCGAGACCCGCTCCTATGTAATTATAAATAACGAATTCTAAGGCAACGCAAATGTTATGGTTAAAAGGCTGAGCTCATAGGTGATGATAAATAACATAGTTATGTATAATATATTAAATTTCTGAATTTATATGCCTGTAATTATTACACACTGTAGCTTTAAATACCGGGAGCCAGTCAAAGGACTTTTTAGCTGGAGTCATTTAAGCTGGGTGCTAACCTTTAAAAAATCTTTCTATGGTCCAAAAATTTATAGCTCAATTTTGTTTTAATTCAGCTGAAGATACTGTTGTCCCATCCATGCATGTATTTCTTCTATGCATTTACCAAAGCTGAAATGGGTTTATAATCACAGCTATGTGTCGTCTACATAGTAAGTAACTTATGGTGTTTACTGAGATCCGGGTTAAGGGAGCATCTAGATATTGAATAGGAGGAGCCCTAACGTAGGCCCTTGGGGAACACCACATGTGATCTCTGATGTAAAGTCCCGTACTGTCCTTCAGGTGGGATTTAAATAAGCCTAGTTCTGCACCAGAAAGGCTGACCCAGGTTTCTAAGAGTTCTGATAAAAATTGAGTAATTACAGTCTGGGATGTTCTAACTGTTGAAACAGCTTTTTTCAGTATTTTTTTTCAGCAGCAGCTTGTCCAAGTTTAAAATAGAAATTTTCAATACTATTTTAATTTGTTTAATTTGTCGAGCTCTGTGCCAGCCTGGTTTCCCCTTGGTGAAGTTAGCATTTAAAACAATGCTGGCATTCAAGGATGTGATATTAATTTCTTTTTTCACTGGAGTCATTGCTGAAAATATGCTTTTCAGTGAGCAGTTTAAATTTCGTGGGGAAATCCTTCATATTATGATATTATTAACTCCTCCTTCTTATTTTTATCTCCTTCAGACTTACAGTAGAGAACGTCTCATCAACTTTCACCCCCCAAAAAGCTGTCATTGTTATATAAAAGAAAACATTGTTTTATTTAATGAAGCTTGAAAAATCT